GGCACCCTAATTCAAACAAGCGAACGAGGTTGTTCCAAAACCTACAGAAAATATCCCCAAATCCCACCCCGGTTATTCTGTTTCGCAAACGGGAGCAGATTAACAGCGCTGCTTTGCCAACCAATCTGTTCGTTTTGCCTTTTGCTGCACCGACTTGCCATGAATCAACTCACCCCTTACCCACGATTTCGGCAGAAATGGGAGCAAACGGGGTGTTTTCCTCCCCCGCCTGCCAGGCCAACTGAAGACGGTCCTTACCTGTGAGATAGACAGCGAACCTGGTGCCCACGCGCTGGACCTGCAGGTTCAACAAGCACTTGACGTACTCAGATTTAGGGGACGACCCGGAGTCGCAGGCGTGGTAGTGCAGCACCTCGATGAGATCGGCTCCTTGACACGATTTGAGGATCAGGTGCTTCTTGCGGGCGTTGGTGTCCACCCTGCTGGGAGAGGGGGGAAGGTGAAGTGGTGAGGGGCTTCATCCCCCTTCTCCCCCCTCCCGGGGGATGCGGAGGGCAGGGTGGGATCTGCCTTTCCCCCCCGTGTGCGTTTTCCCAGCCTCATGGGTGCTTCTACACTTGCTACCCCGCGCTAAATGGAGATGGCAGGAGCAAGCGTCACTGTATGGATCACAGACGCAGCAGGAAAACAAAATGGACCCCTTGCTCGAGGCAGCTCCGAGCAGAGCGCGGCTCTTTATCCCACCACGACGGAGTCGAGAGATGCTACGTGAGCACGTTGACGGAGCACAGAGAAAACGCTCGCTCCACAGCAGCATCTGCTCCGCACAGGTCGAGTCCTCATCTCACAGACTGCGATGAAACACCCAACCCTGACCTTCTGCAACCTCTCACCGCTCAAGGACTGAAAACCAGGTCTTCAGAAGGGTTACGTTGTGCTGTCGTCGTAAAGGCTGAGGGGGGAGAGGATCTGAGGTTTCCCCCCATTTGCTGGAGCATTCTCTGCTCAGACAAAGCAGAGCAGTTCCCGCCGTTCGCAGGCCGTTACCAGAAAGCCTCCTGTCTGGCCCGTGGCCTGGCACTAACAAAGGCAGCCTGCCCGAGAAAAATTGTGCTGGGTTTGGCTGGGGTGGAGTTAATTTTCTTCAGAGAAGCTGCTATGGGGCTGTGCTTTGGGTTTGTGCTGGGAACAGGGTGGATCACCCAGGGAGTTTTGGCTGGGATAGAGTTCTTTTCTTCATAGTAGCTAGTGTGGTGCTACGCTTTGGATTTGCAGCGTTGATAACCCAGGGATGTTTTCGTTATTGCTGAGCAGGGCTGACACAGAGTCAAGGCCTTTTCTGCTTCTCACCCCACCCCACCAGCGAGAGGCTGGGGGGCACAAGGAGCTGGGAGGGGACACAGCTGGGACAGCCGACCCCAACTGACCCCAGGGATATCCCACACCATATGATGTCATGCTCAGCATATACAGCTTGGGGGAGAAGAAGGAAGGGGGGGACATTGGGAGCGATGGCGTTTGTCTTCCCAAGTCACCGTTACGCGTGATGGAGCCCTGCTGTCCTGGGGATGGCTGAGCACCCGCCTGCCCACGGGAAGCAGGGAACAGATTCCTTGTTTTGCTTTGCCTGCATGTGTGGCTTTTGCTTTCCCTATTGAACTGTCTTTATCTCAACCCATGATTTTTCTCACTTTTACCCTTCCGATTCTCTCCCCCATCCCACTGGGGGAGAGCGAGCGAGCGGCTGCGTGGGGCTTGGTTGCCAGCTGGGGTTAAACCACAACAAAAATATTCGCCATCTTACTTCTCTTTTTCAAATTGCATCATTTAAAAACACATTGTTGAAAATAACCTAAAATAAGCGGGAAATATGAACGGGAGAAGTTCTGCTTTTCCCAGCAGTGTTTGATTTTACGCGCTGCCCAAGACACCCCAGTTCATCAGAGCTCCTCATCGCTCACCCAAATCACACAAGGGGTGGGACAGAAAAAGAAACAGCGAAGAGACAGCGGGGCAGAGGAGGGCCCAGGACGTCACTCTGAGCTCCTGGGGTGTGGGGGTGTGTGTGTGTGCAGAAGCTGGGGGGAGCTGGTGGGAAGGGAGCTCAGCTTGCAGAGCATGACCTTTCAGATCATGCGGCTCCTCAAATGAAATTTGTGCCTTTCCTCCAGCCCCTTGCAGGCTTTAACGCTCACAGAGAGCGTCCCTGCCAAAGAGCGGGGGGAATTGCCTTATGGAGATACAGCGGGGTGCAAGAAGCAGCTGCCAGAGCTCTGCCTCATCCGGGATCACGTGCAAGACACAACGTTTCAGGCCATCTGATCCTCTCCAGGTCCCATGTGCTGCTGCTCCATCTCATATAGGTATTAAAAAAAAAAAAAAAAAAAAATTTCTATTGCACTTTACTTGCTAGTGCGCAAATGCTGAACTTTGGCAATTCCAGACTGGAGGTGCGCGGTCTCCCACTGATCAGAAAAGTTCTTATTTAAACAAAAATCTTTAAATTTATCTTCTAAGAGACCAAAACCCAAGCGGAGGCACCTAACTCGCCCTCGTGTCCTTGCATGGAGTGCACTGAATGGGACACCGCCTTCCACCGCGGTGGCTACGTCCTTGCTGCGGTGAGGAGGACAGCAGGGGTGAGGGAGCTGCCAGCGCAGAGCCGTTACCTGACGTCTTCTCGGAGCTTCTTGCTCTCCTTGTAGTGAAGGAGCCACTTCCACCTCCCGCTTCTGTTCAGCTTCTCCAGCACCTTCACCACCTCTTTCAGTTGGCCTGGGGAAGACAGCAAGAGCCGGCGGGTAACCGAGGGTGGAAAGGGTGCCTGGGGGGGGTCTCCAGCCCAACCCTTGCTCAGTTGGGCCACCTGAGGTCACTCAGGGCTTTGTCTAGGTAAGGTTTGAATATCTCCAAGGATATTTCACGGGTCGTGAAAT